GCATTGCTGACCATTCGAATCAAAATTTATTCCTTGCAAATTAGCACAAATGACCGTCTACACTTCCGCTTCTCCTAAAGATTTTATAAACGCTTTAATAAAATCAGCACGAATAAACACTTTTTTAATACATACTCACCCTTACGCTTTTTTTCGAAATGTTCTGCAGAATTTTAGTAACAATTGACAGCATAATTCAATTATCTCTTATCAATGCAATGCAAACTATAAAGGATTTTCTAAATAATGAATTGTTTCTTAATTTTCTCCATTCTCTGTTTCTCTAACCATTTCCGCGTTTGGAAAAGTAAGAAATTTTATTGGCAAAGATCGGTGTGAAAACTTCTAATTCGGAGGAGTTCCGGGCATATTTCATTGTAGCTTAATTAACGGAATGTTGGAAGAGAAGACGTGATAGTAACAGCGGGTTGCGAGAAAGAGAAGACGGTAGTTTATGTGCGGGCATTTAAGCTGGAATACAGAGTGTACTTCATTTGTATGCATTGAGGATTTATACAGGCATGAAGCCAAAAACATTCATCAAGGAGGATTTGGCTGAAAGTCTGATTCATTGCGTCGCTAATATATATAGCGTGTGCTAGACTTCGATGCGAGTTCCGCGCGCTCAAATTATCGAGGAAATTTACAATCGCTTATCCTTCAAAATTGTTATCCTATTTACTACACAATCATTGGTCCAAAAGAGTTTTAAATCCGTCGATAATGGATTTTAATATTTCGTTAATGGATAACTGAAATTAGTGAATAATTGGAAAAGGGATGCATTAGAAAAATTCATGATTATTCAGTAATTCATGTGCTACTGTTAACAATTTTCTGCAATTAGTAAATTAATAATTATTCCATGCTCATACTTGTGAGTAAAACGTTCCTTTACTCTTGAAAGGAAAGGGCTTTGTTTCCCACCCTAAATGTGCACAATTATTTTAGTTTGATATCCTAACTAATAAGTATTATAAATAGGAATGTGATTTTGTATGCCTGTTCGTTTATTACCATTTCACGACATAACTACTGAACCGATAATCATGAAATTTCATGGACACATTGTCAGGGATACACAAAAGAACGTAGGGCCCTTTTATCAAAAAAAAAAATGTTCTTAGAGGGTTGGTAAAATTTCTTTTCATCTTAATAAAGAAGGACCGTTACTGTCGTCCTGCGCAAAGTGTATGTTTAACCAAGTGAATTAGAAAATTTAGTTTTATTTTAAAGGTCTTGATCAGGACTATTTGTCAAATTATTGTATTTTCGATGATCTTTGACAAATATTTTAGGTCATCAACAAACTGTTTGCTGTTTTTATTTTACCAATCCATGAGTGGAAAAATTTATCGATTAATTCCTCGGTAATTGTTAGGTACTCTTCAAAATCTTTCAGGTACTTCTACAGGTTTATTTTTTTAGAAGCCTCGTGATATCGTATTTGGATCATTTTTATATAATTATTATTATTATTAAGTACGGTCCTGTAAAATATATTACGATTTGATTATTACGATTAGATAATTATCGTTACTGTTATTCTTTCCTTTTTAAGTTAACCAATCTTGAAACGAAGTTTTTACTTTAACTTTCGATAATGCTTGATTGAGAATGTAAAATCATTATAGTTTCAGTCCATTTAGTTAATGACCAGTTCATTGAATTTTTTTTTTTTAGGTATTTTTAGGTTCTAGCTTTAGGGAAATGCGAAAATAGGAAGGAGTGGAGGTGCGTGTCCAACCAGTCTTAGGACTGACGATCTTATAATGATGATGATGATTTTTAGCTGCTATTTTGCTATCGTTCTATATTAATTCGCTTAATATTTTGATATTAAAAGCGATGATGATTATGTTTTAGTTAATTAACTATTCACTTTTCCTCTGCAGAATTATTTATGTATGTTAAGGTAATAGACGGTTTTTAGCTGTTTACTTAAATGTATCTAATTTTTAATATGCTGAACTTTTTCATTATTGATGAATTATAGTGTGATACTTTTATATAAGTAAACCGATTGTTATATTATTAATTAATTAATTAATTATTCATTTTTTTTAGTATTACAAAACACAAACTCTTTTTTTAACTTTTCAATTTGTTACAACATTTTACAGAATAATTATATCATGATTGCTATATTTCGTATTATCTATGATTCTGGTTTAAATAAGACAAGCGGATATCTAATATTTTTTTTATTAAAATAAGTTACAGTCACACACAGATTATAGACAGTGAGTTGCTTACATCATATTGGAAATGTAACTCTGAGCAACAAATAACTAACAAATTATTATCAAGAACCAACACAAACAATAATGAAAAATACAATAATTATTAAATTCTGTCTTTCTAAATATTTCAAGTAATTTTACAACTACCTATCGGTTGACATTGTAATAATAA